TCCGCCGCCCCGCGGCCACCGCCCGTGAGCCGTCACCCGCGGAGGAGCGAGCCTGGCCTGCGAAGTGAGGGCTGAGCGTAGCAACAGAGACCGAAAAAACGCCCGGGAAAGACGAGGAACTGGGGGATAAAAAGCCCAAACCTCGTTTCTTCCCGTATCCCGGCACTTCACTTAGGCAAGTCCCCCGCTCGCCGGGCGCTTTTGGAAGCGGCGCAGCCGGCCCTGCTTCCAGCCCGTCCCTCCTCCCGGCGGCGAGCCCCGCCGGCCGGGCCGCGGGGGATCTGCCACCCCCTAGTGCCCGCACCCGCCGGGAGCCGGTTCTGCTTTCCTAGGGGTTTCCAAAACAAAATTTAAATTCCTCCTGCCTTTCCCTCCTCCAGCCTTGCGGGGGGGTTACAGCTCCGGACCGAGCAACAGGGCCCTGCCCCTCAAACGGGAAGCCACCTGAACGCGGGACTAACGCGGATGCACGGCGTAACGTGCATCATTTCCCATTGCCGCCCATCTTTTCCCATTGCCGTCCATCTTTTCCCATAACCTCCTGCCTGGCCCACTCGGATTCGCTTGCGCTACCGGCCCGAGATCAAGCTCTTCCTCCTCCCAAACATCTGTGTGATGAAAACATCACCTTCAGAGCAGAGCCTGCCCGCTAGTGAACTGAGTAAACCGTTCATGATGATAATCGTGCAAGGAGCAATGTGTCATCGTCATTTGGAGGAATACTTTGATAAATTGACTTTGATCAAACACATGGCAGATAAGTACCCGGGTACAAGATTTTGCTAACCCTCTTCTGCAATTGCAGCTTAGGGTTTAAAGGTTCTTGATTTGACTAGTTACATAGTAACTCAAGCCACCCAGCAGTGTGTGGCGAAACGTATGTACGCTGATACAATTTTTTTTTTTATTTGCTCTCTATAAACGAAGGTGGGATGACAGAGGTTTCAGTCGCATTTTAAAACCACGATAAGGAAGACTGAGTTTTCAAGCTATTTGGTTTACCGATTAACCAAGTCCTCAAAGCTTCACAAAGTTACTTAAGTCTTGCGGATACCGTGGATCTACGACTATGCTGTTACCTGTCTGCATTTATCGATATCAAATATATATGCATATGCATTTTAAATTCTACCCAATAAAAAAAGCGCCAATGTTACTAGATAGTCTTAGGCTAACCCACTGACATGAGCAAGGCCACACAACCCTACTGTAATTTCTGATAGTATGCGAAGTTCTGTTTGTTTTCTACAATAAAAGCTGTTGCTACACTAGTTCAAAAATGTTGGAAAGGTGTGGCAAAACCAGCAGCCGTTAATTAATTGTACTGGTCTTGACTATTTAAGAGTGGCTTCCAGACATAATCGGGGCTGTTCTTTCCCCAGGAGCTCAAAACAGATGCAAACAAATTAATTTTTAGCCTAACTCACAGTGTGGCTTGTTAAGTTGGGTAGCGTGCATTCTGCGAAACATCTCAGATTCCAACATTTCCCTTTTGCCTATTGAAGTCTCAAGCTTCATTGTAAATTACTCATGGAAGTAACCCCGAATCCTGGAAACTTAGAGAAAGTATTTAACTTTTGTTCCTAAATTATCTTTTGTTTAGTAGCGACTTCATCTTGTGCAGTTTTCAGATGGTCCACTAAACCTAATTCAGAAGCGTATCTTGATTCACAGCGGATTCTATTTGAACTCAAGAAGCGGGAAGGAATCGGCCGTCAGGCACCACAGCACCCAGCTAGTGCGAGCGGCGCAGGCCCGTGCCTTGCCCTGGTGAGGTTAAGCCAGACCCCGGCACGGCTAAACCAGACCCCGGCACGGCTAAACCAGACCCCAGCACAGCTAAGCCTAAGCCAGACACCAGCATGGCTAAGCCAGACCCCGCCAAGGTTAAACCAGACCCCGGCACGGCTAAGCCTAAGCCAGACCCCGGCAAGGTTAAACCAGACCCCGGCACAGCTAAGCCTAAGCCAGACGCCGGCACGGCTGAGGCAGACCCTGGCGAGGTTAAGCCAGACGCCGGCACGGCTGAGGCAGACCCTGGCGAGGTTAAGCCAGGCCCCGGCATGGCTGAGGCAGACCCTGGCAAGGTTAAGCCGGGCCCTGGCACGGCTAAGCCTAAGCCAGATACCGGCACGGCTGAGGCAGACCCTGGCGAGGTTAAGCCGGGCCCCGGCACGGCTGAGGCAGACCCCGGCGCTAAGGGGGCCGGAGCCGGGCCTGGGCGCGCGGGTGTGTACGGCGGTGCTGCAGCGCCACCTGCTGGGCGTGCGCCGGAACACGCAGCGCTCCTCTTGCGGCACTGGCCGTGGGAGAACTGCTAATTACCTGCGTCATCATCATCAAGATTTACGACTAAACTGTGCTAATATGCAATTACGTGAAGAGACTGAAAGCGAACAACCGTTTATTGGAGACGTTGCTCTTCCAAGGAGACTGAAATAACAAGGTAAAGCGAGGTACATCTCCGTTGTGGCTGTGCCCAGCTACGCTACAGCCAACCATAAAGTCACAGCCCTTGGCTAAAGGAACGTAACAATACCCTTTTTAAATACGTATGTATTTTCGGTGTCTCATTTTCATATTGAAACCCAATTTCAGTTTCCAGAAAAATACATCTGCAAAGCACAGCAAACATTTTTGTGTTTCAGACGGTGACACTGTCGAGCACTCGCTATATCCCCCACAGCTGCCTCACCTGAGCGCCGGTGACAGCATCTCCCGGGCGCGAGCGCTGCAGCACAAGATCGCTTCTGGCACACTTCTGGGGGCCTAACTCTACCGAGTAGGACCTTACTTTCCAAGTCCGCTTGCAGAGCAAGGTGTTTTGAAGTAAAGCTGAAACTGTTTTGTTCGCGGTGGAACAGCTGCTTTGTTTTGAACGCAGCAGTCTCCATTTTAGAGCAATTTTATAAAAGTAGTTATTTGATTTATAGGAAAAAAAGAGGCACGCACAAGTCTAACTAATGCTGTTTCCATGTGCAAAACAAGGTTACTACCGAAGTGAGAATCCTTGCCTTCCTCCAGAGGAAAATGCAGTGAAATTTAAAATGTAGTCTAAAAATTGTCATGGACAAAGAAGCCAAGGTTTGTTTCTTTTCTTTTAGAAACACTTAAAAATAAAATTAAAAAAACCCACATTAATTTAATAATTACCATTCCACATCTTGAAAGGAGACCCAAAAAAAAAAAAAAATATCAACTTTTTCTTGGCATTAAAATACAGGAGGTAAAAATGTGGGATAAAATGTAACTTGACTACAGGTGGCCTGCACCTGGATGAATGGAAAATATTAGGTTTAGCTGCTTTCCTTCCTACAGTAGCTGTAATAAACCATGCTCAGCTGAATGAAATTAGCAAATGCATTTAAAAGGAACAGTCTCCCACAGCACATCTGACAAAAAAAAAAAAATCAATGGACTTATATATAAAAAAAAAATGTGGTTTTAGCCTGAATACTGAATAGTTTGTTGCAGGTTTACCGGAGTCATTATAGCAATCCCTTATTCCTTGAACATCGTTAGAATTCAGTCTCCCTGCCCATCCAGTAACATGTGTGCAGCTCCCTGAGGATGAACTTTTAGTAATTTACTTTTCCAGATTTTCATTTTTGCAAGTATCATCAGACTTCAGCAGATTTAATATTTTAAGGCAGACCGATATTCTCTCGTTTTGAATAGCCAATCTTGTGAATTCTGCAGTTTTGGAAAATTCTGGAGTCGGACGTAGTGCTCTAAGAAGGTGTCCAACGAGCTGGGCTTGGTCCAGTGCTATTCTTGATAGTCGATTAAGTTCTCCGTGATCTGATAAAGTTAGATGAGTCATTGATATAAGCTGTAAAAGGTGCTTACTAAGTTGTCTGACATGAGTCAACTTCTCTCCCCAAAAATTCACTTCCCCTTTATCAAACAGGTAATCATCTTCTTCCTTAACAAAAGGAAAAACAACAGTGATTAGAAAATGATTTGTGGCCTTGATCATAATGAGAAAATTATGAAAGATATGAAAGAAGATACATAGAGAAATAAAGACAATGCAGGCTGTTACGGAACAGCTTCTTTATATTAAAAAAAGGTAAAAATTCATATGCATCGTTTTTCAAAAGTTTGAGAAAACGCAGTAAAAGAAGTTCCTACTTTGCCAAAGAAATTTTACCTTCAAAAATCAGGCAGTTATGGTAAAACTCTTGGGAAACAGTGGAAGTAAATAGTAGTCCTAATCCTTAACATGTGCCTGCCTTCCCCTGTGAAACTGTCTTATATTTCACAGAGACCTCTCTGTAACCAGTATGGTAATTTGCTATATCATGCAGCTTTTGAGTGGATTAAATGAAAAAGGAAAATTGTATCAGCCAGTGAAACATCAGAAAGGCATACCTAAATCACAAGCTTAAGAAAAGTTTCATAATATATTTCATGGGTCATATTAATTGTCAACAAACTTCTCAAAGGTGTAGCTGCTCCTGCTCCTTCCGGTTTACCTTCCAGCATTATTTTGATTTTTACAGTCTTTTCAAGACAAAGAGGGCACAGCGTATTATACAGCATTAGGTTTTAGAGAACCAGCGTAGCAAAGTTTTTCTTTATGTAAATAATCCTTCTGAAGACAATGACTGATGTGAACGAGGCTGTTTCGTGTGCTATACAGAATCAGTCATATGGAAAGTGGCACGAAGTTACCAAATATTTAAATGACACCTCTAGAAAAGCCAGCAGTTGGGAGAACACTGTGCTTGAATGCCAGATGAGCCTGGAACACCCACAGCAGCAGTTTAAATTCAAGGCAAGCCATCATCTGCAATGATACTGAACGCAATTAGTTACAGCCTCAAAATGTTTCAGTCAACAATGATTTGTTAAGTAACTCTTGATTTATTTCAATGTTTGCTTATTGGTCTCTTTAATTTTATGCTGATATTGCCAGGAAACAGACATCAAATTACTGTTACTCTAAATACTGTCCATGTGAATTGTTATTTTAAATTGTAAATCAGTTAATACTGGAGTAGCGATCATCAGGCTTCATCAGATGAGACATTTCACTCTATTCCTACCACAAGACTGTGGAAACGTAGCGATCCCAACACGAGATAGCAACTGGTTCTTAAAATTACCGGGGCTGAAGTCTCGGAGTCTCTTTTCAGATCGCTGTCTCCCAGCAGCCACTCCAGCAGGATCGGTACACCGGCACGGATCTCGCCCCACCGCTGGAGCAGCTCACACAGTATGCCAAAAGCTAAATCCAAGGCCATCGGAGCATTCACTATCCTAAGTGCAAACTCTGTTGAGAGAAAATACGCGTAACAACGTATAGCAAGACCACAAACATTTTCAAATAAAATCAGCACAAAAATTATTTCTTGAAAACAGATGCTGAATTCACACAAACACGTTTAGAATGATGAATTATACTGCAAATAAGTTATTAGATGAATGTTTACTTCTGTGCCACTTGGGGCCTTTACTCAATTCCAAAATAATACATGAAGCAACTGAAAATGCTGATGCTTAATATTTTTTTCCTGCCCATGTAGTGACATTCATTAATTTGGGTTTAACTATACAAAGATGTCTGTCAGAAACGTCTCCAGAGGCAGTCCTGACACTATTACATGGTGACTATTTTCACAAAACTGCAGCTATGCCTAAAATCTGATTTGATGTTTCACTGGAACTCAAAACCTACAGCACATTATATGCTTTTAAAGGGCTGGGATAGAAAATGAATTATTATTTGGTGTGCAATCTCTTTATATAAAGTAAGATATACATACATATATACACACACACACACACGTTGAGAGAGATAAGCATGCAAGACCGGCTCAGAGATGTTAAAGAAGGGAAAGGCAGAGGCTGTTTACAGTACCATCACAGAGCTATATTTATATTTATACAGGTTTGGCTATTGGCTGCTACAGTATTTTCCCTAGGGAGCGAAGAAACCGAGAAATCATGCCAGAACTGTACACAAAGCCATCATCCACACCGTATTTCTTCCCTAAACTTCCCCACTGCTCTCATTTGGGCATATGCTGTTTTAACTGTGTGGTTCCTAGGGCTGCCTTCAATAAGAGAGTACATAAAAATGCCAGAAGCCCCGTTTACACAAGAACTCCAACTGCATTCACAGGTACGAGTTTCACCACCGGTAACATTAATGCAATTTCTTTTTTTAATGGGGATGCAGGAAGAGGACTGGAGGAGGAGAGCTAATGAACAAGCCCCTGTAAAAATCCCCATTACTGTAAAACGGATTTTGGCAAAATTCATCCTTGTCCATAGTCACCAGCAAAAGAACAACTGTTCACTGAATGGTCTGTCTTCTAAGCAGTGATATCATAAGGACACATCATTCTTGAAGGTTGTCTTCTGCGAGCAGACAACACAGCAGAGTCAGAATTCTTTGGTAAAAATCCATACAGACATACGGTAAGGCAGACCTTACTTTTTGTGTCTGAGTGTATTTAAGTGTTTCTCACGAAGGAGAACGATTCTTGACATGGAAGAGGCATAGCAGTGCAGCCAAGACCTGTCCTTCACAACCCACGCTCAGAGCTGCAGCATGACTGCAGCACAGAGTTCTGTAACACCTCCCGAGGCCTCATGCCAGCTGCAGGTTTTCTAGAGTACGCTGGCACAGCAGAGAAATGTAGTAAGACACCAGGACTAGGGAAATACATGTGCCAACGAATAAGGAAGCGCAAATAAGGAAGCGCAGGGAACACCTAGGGGCCAAACAGACTGACAGAAAGCTGGGTACATGGTATTTGATAGACCAGGCAATGTACTGAGGACATTGGGGAGGATGAATTAGTATTTGAGACCATGAGAACAAAGGACCATAATAAGGAAGGGAGTGAAGGAGAAAGAACAGATGGTCCCTTCTTTATCTTGGAGTTAGATGAGGGTAAATGGAAATCTCCTTGAACAAGCAACAGGAAGGCAGGCAGTCAATCTCTTGGTGACACTAATAATGTTACATACGCAGTTTGTCTCTGCTAGACAGTCAAATCAAATGTTCAAATCTGTTTTCTTCATGTCAGGATTTATCACTGTATCAGGACGTCGCTCAGCTTTGTCCATGAGGGAGAACTTGCAGGGGTGCACTGCGACATTCCCACACCATTTATTTTAGGTATTGGGGTTTTCAGGTATTTTTTTTGTTGACACTTCTTTCCAGAACTTACTTTTTTAAAAAAAAAAAACTTGCTTTCTCTGTTGCTGTGCCCTACGTGGTGCCAGTCTGATACTCTAAGGAATGGGTACAATGGTTGTCCTCTCTGTTTTGATTTGCTTAGGCTCAGGTAGAAAACAGAGTTTCATTCAAGTGCCATGGGGACCTCAGAAACACTGGCAATCCTCAGAGCTGGAAGAATAGAAACTAAAACGGAGCACGGGGTTCCGAGCCTGTAACAAACATCCCGGTTACAAATGCAACATTTTAAACCCAGCTCTTTTGAATTCTGATGATCCTTCAGAGTTTTACGGACGATTACTGAATGCCTCCGATTGTCAATATTTATATAACGTCTCTTGCTTGTGTCACTTTATTTGTATTTGAATATTTAGCAAATTAAGTGATGCTGGGAGCTAAAACCCAAACATGTTATTTCCCACTGCTGTCTTCCTGAAGTTAGCTGTTGCTTCAGAGGACTGATTATAGATACAACTGCAGATATGCAAAATACCTGCCATTTTCTGGGGCCTTTTTTCCCTTTTAAGATTTAGACTCCTTAAGTGTAAATATGGTGATGCTCTCTGTGAATTGGAACACTGGGCTACTGAGAAATGCACCAAAACATATATTGGGGCCTCTAATTCTGTTATTATGTGAACATGCTGAAAACTACAAGAGGTAGCAAAACAAGTAATGCTGAGGTACTGCTTAGACTGAACTTGCTTGCTAGCAGTTTTTCAACAGCATGACACAGAAGAAAAGGCAGTTTTGTGGTCACATAGCACGGCAATCTTGTAGGGAATCCTTGTATCGCAACAAAGGAAATAGTAAGGTTTTTTGGTTTTTTTCAAAGAAGAGAAGAGAAAAAAAATTACAAGAAAAACATATAAAGGAGGTCTAACACACAGGAAAAACATGAAGACCCTGAACACAGTACCGACCCAAAAGGTGCCGACTGCCCTTCTGTGAACTGCAGACACCATTCACCTGATCAACCAAACTCATGCGTCAGTTCTGATGTTGAGACCAGAGAACACCAAAGCAACATCACTTTGGTAATGCGGAAACTTAGGCTTCAAAAATTTGGGTAAGAGCCTGCCTACCTTGGGTTTTGTGCTAGAGACGCTAGCACAGCGGCCTCCTGGTACTTGAGGTATTGACACAGATTTAACAATAGATCAAATTCTGGCAGATGAAGAATTTTTGCTTCCACCTGCCCTGCCCATCCCACCTCATCCCATCCCACTCCTGCAGAGCATCAGGAATGGCTCCATGGTTTCTGAATTGCTTCCTCAGCTGCTGTTACTTACAGAGCACACTGACATTAACTGACTTTGATAGCAGTTCACACAAATTTGATGCTAGAATAGTTCAAGATCAGTTTTGGGGACTACCATTGCCACAAGGACAACAAAGAGATGGAGCAAGTATCCAAAAAAGGTCTATCAACTCCCTAAGCTTGGAGTGCTGAAGTAATACAGATAAATAACAGCAAGCAAAGTTACATACATACCCATTATTTAATAGGTAAAAAACGCTTTCAGAGGGGAAAATGTTCTATTGCTTTGATGACCCCCAGCTCTAAAAGTAACAGCAACGGATGCTGTAAGCATGTACAGAATCTTTTAAGATACCCACAAAAGGTGTACATCTCCTAAAAATAAACGTACGTCTCTTCACTGACGTATTAACTGTTTACAAGAACTGCTTCTCACATCATTTGCCTGCAAAACAGGGCTGATTTTCAAGAAGCCACATATTACACATGATGCTGTGTTCATGACTCACACGCTACAACTTCAGAAAGTGGTGTGAGCAAGTTGGAAGTTCACCAGGGGCAAAAAAGGCAGATGGCTCTCCTCCCCCCGCAGCCCCCTCGGGCCACGGGCTCCTGATGCTTACCTCCAGCCAGCTCAGGTACTCTGCTGATCACCTGGTAAATTAATGCTCAGAATAGCAGAATACGAATTTGGCACGCAACTCGGCGTGTGGGTTCTTCTGCTGGGCTGGCAGGCTGGACTGGTTACCCTGCAGTCAGAATTGGTACAGCTGGGAGCCGGGGAAGGGAAGATCACAGGGCAGCGGGGGCAAGGAAAGAGGCCAAAGGGAGAGCGAGACCTCCCTGTTCAGCAAGCTGTTAGCTCAGGTCAGCTATAATCCGAAACTTCCCCGTCAGAGTCATGTAAACAAAACACTAGCAGAGATGACTGAAATGACTGAGTATTTATAGCCTTTCATAATCTAAGTAACTATTTAAAGGAACTGAATAAAAAATTTCAGATGACAGATTTCTAGAAGCCGCTCACAGCTGGTTACTGCCACAGGAACTAAACCAGCAGAAATCGAACCTGAAGACGTAGCTGTTACCAAACACTGAAAATACAGTAGTGCTCCTACCACAACAAGTTCTACAGACTATCAAAATGGTGTCAAAACTATCAGTTTTTTAAATTCTAAAACATGTCTATGTTCCAACATGCAGAAACATCACGAGCAAGATAAGCATCTCGCTAAATAAGCCACTACAGGGGCTGAAATACAAAAAAATTCTGTACGCCTTAAACAAGTACTTACAAGCAGAAGAATTAATACTACTCCTTGAAATGAAAAACAAAAGATAAGAATCAGGTACTACATGTTTTTTTCATTTTGAGGAAGTGCATTTTCATAAAGGGAAAGAGGTTAAGTACTGCAGTGTTTTAGTCTTTGTGAATCCACCCACATAAAAATTAGACCTCCCACATACACATTCATATACTCCAAAAGCTTTGATCATGCCAGATGTAAATATTTCTTCTAGTAGCCTATTACGTGTCCTCCAACTATACAATTGTTCTCTGTTAAAGCCTCGGTGATATTATGGGGAACTGAAAGGATATATTAAAAGCATATACACAGATTTTAAGGACAACCATGATAAAATATAGGCAAAATATAAAAGCAGAACCTATTCCTTGCCTAACAAAGCATTTTGTAATTGGTTTTATACTGGAAATTGTTAACTAAAGTTAATTTTAGATCAGAGAGTAATGCAATTTTTGTAAATGTATACTGTGTTCAGAACAAACATAGAGAGAAGTAAAACTGCAAGGAAGCTTAGTGTAACAGCCCTGAGAGAAAACCTCACAAAGAGCAGCGTACCAACAGCAAGGATGTTTTCAAGGAAAACATCTAGGGTAAGTTCCTCAGCTGAAATTACAGAAAGTATTTTAGGTAGACCGGGTATACTCTAAATTGGTGAAATATTTTTTACTTTTTTTTGCGCAAAGTGCTGCCTACCTAGGTATAAACACGACTACATCGCTATCAATACAGCACCTCGTAACACCCTGGTAAAATAAGGTCGTATTCTTGCTTCAGAGACAAGCATGGGCATTTAAATCAACAAAGCTCACTGAATGATTGCTTGACAAAACTGGAGATTTATCTCAGGTTTTCTGATACATCACCTTAACAAGACGGTGAATATCAAGCAAGAGACCAGGTTCCCATCCAAATGATGGCAGATCCAGCATCACAGTCACTAATACCTGTAATGCTAGATTTGCAAATGGAAAATTTCACCTATTGAATCACTAATCACTTTTTGTTGCATTGAAGGTTTTTTCTTTTTGGTGTTAAGTAATAATCAGGTTTGCCCCTATTCTTGACATATCAAATATAAGAGAACTGAGTGAGGCATTGCTGCAGATATATTTTTTACTTAAAATACTGTGTTTATGTATGCACAGGCTTCATAAAACTTAAAAAGCCTTCAAATTTAAAAAAGAAGAAAAATCCCACTGGCCCAACCCAAGAGTTACATAAGCTGGTAAATAAAGTGAGGTTAGAAACTGAATTTCTTATGTTGAAATAACCTGCTTACATGTTCTACTTTGAGCTAGACAGGAATTGTGCAACTCCGCAGCAAGGCAACACACAGGTGTTTTGTCACCAGAAAAACAACAGGACAGAAGAAAAACAGTAGCAGTAGGTAGAAAGTAAAGGGGTGTTCACACCCACTCAGTCTCCACAAATAATGTTACAGTGCTATCAGCCTTCTGGGCACTAAGATAAAGAGAGGACAACTGAGAAGTAAAACAACAAAAAACCCCACAGAAATGGTAACTGTTGTGCCCGGATAGTTGGCAGATGGCTCTTGAAAGGGTGCTTGTTCACTGCACTGTGTCAATGTAAGTTACAAACATCAAACTTTCCACTTTTTAAATGACCATTTATGTAAAATCTAACATATAAGCAGATTCCTTTTTATAGTGTTTCATAAAATCAAAGGCCATTAGATCATTTCTATCCTCTCGAGAAATAGCATTCCCTAGATGACGTACAACTACTTCATCTGTTTTCCATTTCCCTGCCTGAGTCTGTTTTATAGCCGTGCTTTTTCAGGATGACTTTAAAAGGAGGCCCTTCCTGACATCATGCAACACGATGTCAAAACACAACACTATTACAAAACAAACTAATCAAAACTAATTTCTTAATAGTTGCA